TATATATATATATATATATATATATATATATATATATATATATATATATATTCTTTTATAGACAAGGATATAAAAATAGAGAGGCAAGGGCCGACTTTAAACAATATTTTAGAGGTTTGCTTTGTAATAGTTTAATTATTCAGGTCTATACATAGACCTATAAAATCACTTTCCCTGTTCAGTTTTCCCAGTCGCGCATGCGCAGCGGAAATCCTGTCAACGTTCTGTTCCTGTTCACATCTGGGGAGAGGATAAAAATATACATAATTCAATTATTTGTCATTCTTGTTAAACTTTTAGGTTACGGTTAAGTTAAGACGCCATTGCGCTAGAATAAGTATATTTACATGTACATAAAAAACGGAGGCTGAATCCAGAATCGAACATCTGGGATCGACTTTCCTGGTCTTGGTGTTGACAATTCATGTTGCCCAGCAATGGCCCAGGGTCAGACTTCTTCGCAACCTGTTCCAACTGGCACAGACAAAGACAGCAGTGTACCAGCGGTGGGTTACGACAAGAAGTGTATTTTCTGCAGGATTGTAAACAATGAAATGGACACAGAGCTTCTCCACAGAGTGAGAATCTTTTTCTTCTTGTCTTATTTGTGGATGTCAGTCAGCTAGCTTTAGCTTGTTTTTGTTAGCAGACTCTCATAGCAACAGATTTAGCTCTATCAGACTTGGGCAGGGAAGACGTGGCTGATATTTAAGCTTCCTTTTAGATATTATAGTCGAATATATCTTGCAGAGCAGTGAGCCTATAGTGCTGTAGTTGTTGTGTTAATGGTCCGTCATGTGGGTAAGGTGTGTCTCGCATCTCCTCTGGTCAAATCAGGGTTCCTGCACTTGTTTCGTGTCAAAATTTCACGCAGTGAAAGGCTGTAGTGAAATTTCACTATTTTCTTGGCTCAGATGTTCAGAATTCTCCGGATCTTTTAGACTGAGTACACAAAGACAGAGTCACTGTTAGTTTTAAGCAAAAGATGAACGATGGATGGGTGGATAATGGATGAACAGGAATACAGATTGATGGATAATGGACTAATGGATTGAATAATGGATGCAGTGATGATTATCTGACTGCAGATGGATATATAAGGGATCGTATTATTGTAAAGCTGAATTCTAGGTTAATGAATTGATGATCATGTGGAGGAACAATAGAAGAGAATGTCATTCATTGATCTCTAAGGGGGAAATTGCTTAAAGTGATGATAAATAATTAGAGTGATGAAGGATGAACATTTAAAAGCTTTAGGAAATTACATTTTCCACGCTGGATTTTCTTTTTTTTTAATCCTTATCCAGACATGTAAATATACTTCCATCGAAATCTGTACATTTGCGAATATTTCTAGCCTTCAAAGCAACCAGCCTCATGTGGACACGGAGCTGCATGTGGCTGATTATAAACCACAGAGCAGTAATTTCAGGTTTTTGTGAAATAAATACGTTGCAGGATGAAGATATTTGCTGCTTCAGGGACATTAAACCCGGAGCTCCACATCATTACCTGGTTGTCCCAACCAAACATGTTGGAAACTGTAAATCACTCAACATACAACATGTGCCTTTAGGTAAGGCCACTCATTCATGTTTTTTATCTGTATATACTTTCAACAAGCTAAATTCTTCTCCTGTTGTTTCTAGTGAAGCAAATGGTTGACGTCGGGAAGGATGTTTTGCGAAAACACAATGTGACCGATCTCACTGATGTCAGGTTAGCAACATTCAGTATGGCGCGCCAGTAAATTTAGAGGATCGCCTTTTGAAGCGTGACGTATGTTGATGTATTACGTGCAGCAGATGCAGCAGTAAATACTTCACGTGTTTCCTGTGCAGGTTCGGCTTCCATTGGCCACCGTTCTGTTCCGTCACACATTTACACCTACATGTTCTGGCACCAGTCAGTCAAATGGGCTTCATGTCGCGCCTCGTCTACAGACTCAACTCCTACTGGTTTGTCACGGTAAGTTTTAGAAAAACTTTGAATTTAGGTTTGTGAAAAATAAGTGGTTTACCCGGGGCTTCTGTCATCAGAGATATCGAATATGTATTTGTTGCTGTTTTTATTTTAAATGGAAACAAGAATAATCCCAACTCTTTTCTCTCTCTTTGGTATGTTAATTTTCTTCTGTCAAATCCTCAATATCTTATTTAATTACTGATGGTACCCTATAGATTTAGAGTAGGTAGCCTAACTTTTTTAGCATTACAATTATAGGAAGACAATCTGGTCATTAGTTTTTTTTTTATTTGCATATATTGCATCACAGAGTTATTTGCATTTAGAGTGTATGAGTGTGTAGTAGGTGAGGTGCTGCATTTGTTGGTATCTGGAGTGTAACTGTCACTATTCTTTATACATGATGGGTAAGAACAAAGAAGAAGAAAAAAACCTCCTGAATAGCTAACATCTTTTTTTATTGTCAAATGTTTTGCAGGCAGATCAGCTGGTTGAGCTTCTCAACTCTAAAGTAGAGACACATTGAACTCCGGATCCATTTTTTTTCTTCAGTGAATTTTCATAAAGTGGCCTCAGTAAGCTGCCATGTTGGATGATACGGGATCTGTTGTTCTTTCTTGTTTGACAAAAGTTAAGGACGGTGTTTTATTTTAAACATGTGTGAAGTCCTGTAGGACAAAGTATTTCTTGGTTTCTTCACAATGTGCCAGAAAGATGTCCCAGGAAGAGTGGGGTATCGAAGCTCTCATCTTAGAAAAAAACCAATGGCTAGGGACCAATTAGCATTTATCTGATTTGATCAAAACTGAAAGATGATTTGATTTTAAAACGCAGCCGTAGAACAAAACTAATCAAAGTCCACGGAATTTGTTTGTTTTTCCTGTCATTTCAGAGGGCCTGCAATGTGAAGTTGAGGTGATGCATGTGAAGAAAAAAAATTTAATTGAACATTTATCCACTGAATATATGAGCTATACCGCCTGATTTACATGTGTAATCCTCAAAACATTACTTTGATTGTTGAGGTACTGTACAACATGATCATAACAAGCACTGCAACACAGTTAATGTACTGAAAATACTTAAATGATTGCAATGTGTAATATATATATATATATATATTGCTTAGTATACAGGAAAGATGTACATCAATACTGGCTACCAGTTCGTAAAAGTCTGCTTTACCTCAAACAAAACCATATTTACAGAATACACATAATTCAAAATTAAAAAGCAACAACACTAATTTTATGGCAGACTTTTTTTTTTTGTAAGTGTGTGATTCTATCCACCTGATAGAATCAGTTTTGAAGCATGTAATTCAGAAGCCATCCATCTTTAATCAGTTTTATCAAATGTCAGGGCATTGTCATCACTTTCTGCTGTGTATGAACTGAATGTGAACAACCAATATGCACTTTTAATTATTAATTTAGAATAAACAATGTTGCTTCTAGCGGGTTGTTCGTGGTCTTCATTAGTCCTCCTTCTTTCTCGTAACTCAACCCAATCAGCCAGTCGGAGTTTTGAGGATCTGAAGTCATCTCAGTCATCATCCTATGGCCTCTATTGTCAAACGTTTCCCTGATGTGTACATACTGGTTAATCATGTCTTGAAAATGTTTATTGAATTGCATGATTTTACAACTTAAAAGTGCGTCCAATTGTGGCCAAAAGTTTTGAGATGGATAATTTATTTTTTTTATTTCATTTTTTTTCACAAACGTTATTGCGTCAGTCTTTACGGGAACACTTTGCATTGATTTTACGTTGCCGTGAGGAATGATCACTCAACTCAGTACAAAATGAATTATGTTTAACTTAATTCATAAAAGCCTGTTTTACTCTATGATGTAGCCCTGACACAAACTGACATTCCAACATCAATTTAGATGTTTGCGCTATGTGGACAGGATGAAAAATATGTGCTCTCATATCGCTTTGCATCACAAAAAGGCAAGGATGGTGCTGCTAATAAGATTCCACCCAAATTGTTAAAAGTCTAAGGGATCAAGTTGCCACCAGAGCACAACTCGTTTCAGGAACGGAAGTGGACAGCAGTTTGGCTGCTGCTCTGATGTAAAGTAGGACAGGAATGACCAAGTTACATTCTGCAGGGAATACAAGGATTAAGCTACAGAAGATTGGGGTGTAAGGTTAACTTTGGCACACAAAGTCCTCCTACTTTTATCTCAGTGTGAATCTATTGGTGCTTTATAAACTTGATGTATTTCTTCATAAAAGCCTTTAAAAGTTCTGAATTTCATATCGATATAGAGATACAGTAGCTGGCAGAAAAGTTCTAGACGACGATGAATCAGTATTGATTTACATTCCAATCAGTCTCGAAACATTTGACCATATTTGTACGGTTTCTTAAATAAAGTCAAATTCGCTGGTGTCACATTTTTAAAGTAGTGCTTTTATTTCACTGTACATCTTAGTGTGGTTAAGGTACCAAAAAAAAACCCAACAAAACTAATCATCATGACAATGCAACTACAAAGCACCTCTGTTATAAACGCATAGTGCGAGGCTCTGGTCCAAGTTGGATCAGGTTCATCTTATAGCACCAGATTGTCTGTCAGCGGCAGGCTTTGTGTTCTCCTTTTGTTTCAGGCCCTTCTACCCCGCTCGTGTACTTTCAGTGCATCATAAAGCCGTGGACTTCAGTGTGGCCGGGTTTGTGTGGTTCTTTTCATACATTTATAGGCTTACAGCAGCAAGCAACATCTTGAAGAGTGGATTATTTAACAACAAAGTTGTTTTCAATCGCCAAATGTAGTACAGTAGAATACAGTAATGGGGACTCGGTTCTTTTAGAGAGGAGATCTCATTCTAATTGTCAAGCACTGTGGCAGACGGGTGACAAGTTGGGCCTTTTCTGGAGGCCAATGCACCCTTACACTGAATTGGCCATGAATTCACATCTACATTGTAGTAATAGAGTCAAATGTAAGATTAGATTTCTAACAAAGTTTGGCTCAAACTGAGTATTTAACAGGACTATGCAGTAAATCTACACCGGATGGCTGGAAGAGAAGCATCAAGACTTTTGAATAGCCTAGTCAAAGTCCAGACTCAACTAGACCAAACTGCTGTTGAGGCTTGTAATCCTTTATGGATGTGAACAGAAATACTGTCTTGTTCTCTTGAAATTATGTTGGAAATGTTGATGATAATTCTACCTGCTTGTGTTTTCACTCTGTGCTGATCTAAAACAACTTTTTAATAAAAATTAGGGGTAGTAGAGGATTTGATTTTGTGGTTGTATTTTTTTTTCTGAAGTCACTCTTTCTCAACATGAATCAAAGCATCAGCAAAATCCCAATATGTGCTTATTCCAACAAAGTGATAACTACATGGTCGTCCTTTCCTTGCCACAGCGTCTCTCCCTCGAAGTCCACCAGTCCCTGTTTTCTGGCCCGTAAAAGAATTCCCACCAGCGTATTGGAGATGGCCACGTAATGCTCAAAAAGCTTCCCAAATTCAACCGTGATCCCTTTCCTGTGGTCCTCACGTCTGTCCCCGTCGTGCTGCCCGATGTCCCTTATCACCTCGCACAGCTTCTGGATCTCCCTGCCGATGTGTGTGTGAGCCTCCTTCCCACGTTTCTCAGTCAGGGACCCCTGCTGGGGTCTCCCGTAATCATCCTGTCCCCTGTGAAGGGCCACGACAGTCTGCCTGGTGTCATGGCTGAAGGGGTTGAGCTTCTGGCTCTCCTGGTGCTCACTGGACCACTTCTGCCAGTTTTCCTTGAGGCCTTTGACAGAAACGTTGGGCGTCGCTCTGTCATCGTCACTCCGAGCGGGAGCGTTGAGGTCGACCTCGGGTTTAAAGTTGCTCCTCTGGCTGTTGGTCCCCATTATTCACTCCCCTCATTTCTGAATACAAGAAGAAAAGGACTTTGCAATGCATAGTGACATAGTGAAACTAAGTACAAAGTGGCTTAGGAAGAAGAGAGGCAATATTTTGGTGTTTCCATCACAAAGCTCTGATCTCAAGAAAATTTGTGGACAGTGTTGAAAAGTGTGTGTGTGATAATAGCTGTGATAATAGTTGGTGTAACCTGACTCAGCTACACCAGTTGTGTCAAAATGAATGGGTGCAGCAAACTGTGAGAAGGTTGTGGAAGGATAAACATGGCATAAAGTCTATGCAATGCTACCAAGTACTAAATAAATGTATGTTTAATAAAAGTATGAAGACATCTGAATTTGTGCGTGCATATTAAAATCTAGAGTATAAATCTGTAATTATCCTGCTATTATCTATTTATACATTGACTGTATAAATAGATGATATCTATTTGTCTTCTATCCAAATAGAAGACAAAAAAAATCTTTAAGCTAAAATTGTGGGAATCTGGTTAAATGACATACAATGAGAGAAAAACGAGTCTTTTATTATTAATATTTTTCGTATCTTAATTTGAATGCTAATTACCACCGGAAGTCGCAATCTGTCCAGTTTCACGGGACATAGTAATAAAATGCAATGCAAGATAATCTAGTAGAAGAAAATCTACAACGCATTATAATCATTGATTGATCGTACTTTCCTCATTTTTTTTAACCAATAATTGCTTTGTTAACCTTTCAAAACTTCAGAGAGTTGATTATCCAGCTTTCAGATGACACATTCAGACCTCACCTGATCGGCTGAAACCTTTCTACATGCAGCCGAACTTCGGTACTTCCCGGTTCTTCATCTGATGTGGTTTTTTAGGTCTGCAGTTTTGCTGACAGCCGCAGCACAGCGGATGCATCAGATCCACACGCAAGCCCATCTGATGGACATCTGTCCCCGCCAGTGGAGACGAGGACACTTCCCTGCAGCCAATCACAGACCGCCGTGAAAAGCGTCTTATCTCTTGGTTATGAAATAGCTTAAAGCTTATTTAAAGTACAGTGAAGAGGAGGGAATCTTTCCCGCCCCGTAAAGCAAGTAAAAGTTGTGTATATTTGATTTATAAGGTTCTTTTTTTTTTTTTTTAAAGATAAATGAATTATTGTAGATTAATAAATGTTCCGAATTAGGTACACGGTTTATAATGGTACAACCATTAAAATGTAGAAACTAATTTAGTAACTTCTACATATTAGAGAGTGTATATTCAAAAACCGAGTGCACATAACTCTGCCTTTTATGGTTACATTGTCACCTCCAAGCGGCACCTTTTGTGCATGTTTCTGTTTCTAGCCGGACTTATTTTGAACCCGCACTAGCCATGGCCGCCTCCGGTAGCAAATCATGCCTCCAATATCTCTTCCATCTGGCCCATGACCATCTGGATTTTAGGTTACCGGTAACGATAAAACTATTTCCTTATTGTTTGTTTAGCTTCCGGTATCTTTTACAGGTTGTTGGTATATGGCCCGTTCCACTCTGTTATATTATGGTATTATAATATGGTAGCTTAATGCTAATGTAACAGGAATGTTAGTATGTCTTGGAATGAATCGATACCCGCTGATTAAAGCTGCTGATTTAAGATAGAGTGGTTACAAAATAATAACACCGTGGAATGTTTCTCTTCCGAACACTATGTTTGTGGGTAATCGACTCATACTTGATCTTAAAGTTTATTTCCATTCATATATCTATAAATGTCAATGTAAGGTTTAATTCTTTTTGTGACTTCATTTTTTAAATGAGACGGACTAGGTTTATTTTAAGTTAATGTACATTTTTCATAAAACAACCTATAAAGCAACTTTCCCTAAAGTTTCCCTGCAGTTCAGGGAACCCTTCTGAAGGGTTAAATGGTTCCAAAATGCATAATTTAACCTTAGGGAACCTAAAAGTTGTCCTCAAAGTTTAGGATGTAATCTTTAAAGAAACTCCAAGAAAGTTGACCACATCTTTCGCTATTTCTCAAATAAATAAGGGATATAAATCATAGAATATTCCCGCAGGGGATAAAAGTTATTCAGTGTGAGCTTTGGAACAGTTTAACAGATCAATGCGGAAAAGTTCCCTGAAAGTTTTCTTCAACTTGTTTGATTTAAACTTCATAGAACATTTCCTGACAGTTGAACTTAGTCTGTAGCCTTTAGAGAAACCTTAGCAAACCGTAAGCATTTCTTGAAGGCTATGTGCAACTTTTTCTGAAGTTTCAAGCTGTTTTATGTCAGAGTGGAGGAATCTGGCAGACTGTAAAAGGGGGAAGGTTGGTGTGTTAAAGACAGAGGGTCACTTGCCAGATTTTGGCCAGATTTTACAAACTACAGGGAATTTATTTGGTGTCTTTTTCTATCGTCTATGTTGTTCTCTGATTTGAATCAGAAATCTGATTCATGATTTCTGTTAAATTAATGACCCCTTGACATATTGTTCATTTATGCCCTGATTCTAATAGGAGATTAAGTCTCTGCTGGCTCTCCGATTGAAACCATTCCATCCATGCGGAGACTTCAAAGAGCAGGTCAGAGGTCACCGTGTTTGCACTCTTTTTTTTTTTTGACTAACGTTTTGCAGGTCAACAGATGGTTGGATGGGATTTAAATTAGAGCATCTTTTCATCGTCCTCACATTCGGTATGTTTATTTCCTGCCGTTTTTAGTCTCCTTTCTGGTGCTTGGACTGCTTGTCGGAGGAAGACGTTTGCACCGTGATGGCCAGATCTGTTTGTGCAAAGTAAGTGTGTTATTTCTGCTTGCATAGATCTTTAGTGAGAAAAAAAACTGTGACTCCCCGCCCCCCATCTTGTCCTCTCAGGTCTGCTTTTGAGCTCTGGGGCCATGGACAAACGCACAGTGAACTCAGGACATCCCTGTTAAACTACCCACCAGAGAAAATGGTGAGTTAGCTTTGGTATAAAGCACAGTTTACCCTTAGCAACTCTACTTCTGATCTCCTTTATCCTCCTTGATTTCGCTACAGAGTCCGTACATGCAGAAAGGCTCTTCGTACAGAATAAACGTCTACACTTTCAATAAAACATTGTTGTTTGAGGACAGTATTAAAAAGATTGATGTAAGTATTTGTCTGAGAGTGGAGATGGATGGTTTACTTTCACATTCAGAGGTCGTATATCGTATTAATGCCGTGTTTATCCTACTCTGTTCGTTAGGCCCTGGACTATCTTCCCTTTGAAGGCACTGTGAGCCTGAAGAACCCTCAGCACATCTTCTGTTTGTTGGAGGACTATGGCACCGACCCCAACAACATCCCTGAGCATCCTAAATACATCTACTTCGGCAGATGGGTGAGAAATAGAAACTTTGCAAAAATATTAGCTCTTCAACTGTTGTCTCATCACAACCGCAAACTTCAATGAAGGATTGTTTAGTGGAAGGGAAAGATAAGTAGGTTTTTCACATTTTTACAGATGTAAATGGTACGACGTATATTGGTGTTGAGCCAAGACGTTCCGTCTTTCGCTGCAATTACAGTAAAAAATTTTAAAATTTGTGGTTGCAAAAAAAAAAAAAAAAAACTCAAGAGGAATGAATACTTTTGGAAGGTGCTGTGGATTAATCTACCCTTTTTTTTTTTTTTTTTTTTTTTTTTTAAATCCAAAAAAGGTTTTTTTGTTTT